TCTGTCTGTCTGTCTGTCTGTCTGTCTGTCTGTCTGTCTGTGTCTGTGTGTCTGACAGGAGGCAGAGACCAAACGTCAACTGGATACAAAGACCTCAGAGTGGAGGAAGCTGCAGACAGAGGTACACACACACACACACACACACACACACACACACACACACAGTCCTCTCTGTCAGTGTTGTGTTCAGTGTGCTGTGGTTGGTATCAGCTGTGATCAGTGTGATAATGTGTGATGTGTGTGATTCAAGCAACCTGCTGCTGACAACAACTACTTCCTGACCTGTTCAGAGGAAAAACACATTTCTCTCTTTATATTCTGCTGAGTCAGTAGTGATGTGTAAATGTTCCTCATCTAATACAATGTTTCTCCTCATCTCTCTCCTCCCTCTCAGCTCCAGGAGGAGAAGATGAAGAATATAAACTTGGAGAAAGAAGTGACGACCTTGAAGCAGGACATAAAGATGAAGGACACACAGGTTGATCTTTTCACCTTCCTGTCACATTTCTCTCTTTATATTCTCCTGAGTTACACACATACAAATCAAATATGAGACAAATAACAAGCTTCAACAATTATCTTTAGATGTTTGTTACAGAGTCTCAAACCTACAGTAGTAAGAGGAGCAGAGTGTGTGTGTAGTGATTGAAGAGTTCATGTGTCACTGTTGTCATGTCCCCTTACATGTCTTAATCAAAGATCATGTCTCTAAACTCAGCTCCAGGATGAACACACCAGGAGAGAAGAAGCTGAGAGACAAGTTCAGAGGAAGCAACAGGAGCTGCAGAAGAAGACACAAGAGGTTCATCACTTTACTTTCATCACTGTCACTGTATTTAACTGTTGTTGCTCTCTGTGTGTATCTTCTCATCAACACACTGATTTGTTTCCAGACATCTAATTGTTTGTTTCCTCTGAAAACATTTTGAAGAGGTGCTTTTTTTTCTTCTCACTGTTTTGCTATATTTTATTCCTTCTCAAAACCTCCTGTTGTTTATGTAATTTTCAAATATTAAATATATGAAACAAACCACAGTAACAACACAGATGTTCAACATCTATGCTCCACAAATGGTGGTTAGAGAACCTGAAAATACTGAGCAGGAGTGTTTTTGGGATCAGTTGAATTCCTGAATTAATCAGCTTTAAGTTGAGTTTTCACCTTAAGTGTGCTTGTGTTGTATAATAACTGCCAAGAGTAACAAAAAGAGCATGTCTTTTATTTTTAATCTTCCTTTTCTTTTCCTCTATGTCTCTCATCGCCCTCAGCTCGGGAAAAAAACAGGCTGAAACCATACAAGAGATCCAACTGAGGGTCTGGGCCATGGATCTGAGAACGGCACAGAGTGAGCACGCTGCTCTAATACAGAAGCTCTTAGGATGGAATGCTGATGTGTTGTCTTTGTTCTGCAGCACATTGACATTTAAACACACAGTGAGACCAACCACATGTTCCCCTCATCAGACAGCAACACTGCGGACAACCAACATAAACTCACATCACACACTGTAAGAAGTAACATTTAATACTGATCATCATCATCAAGAAATGAACATAAAGAGAGTTATAGTCTGTAATGATGCACGCTGAAACAATACATTTTACCATAGTCCAGAAAATTTGAAAATGCAAGGCACATTCTACATAAAGCACAACACAACACACTCCTCCTCTGAAGAAACCAAATACGTTTTGTAAGCACAAGGCAGCAGCACCTCATTTAATCGGAAGTCAAAAATTACAAATGTCAAAGATTAAAATGCCGATTTTTTATTTATTGAAAAAATATTATATTATATTATATTATATATAATATTTCGTATTTTGCTTCACATTGAATTTGTAAAGCATTACTTGACTTTTTAATGCAATATATATATATATATATATATATATATATTTTTTTTTTTTTTTACAAAGGATCCACTCTCAGTTTATCAGTAAGAACTTAAACATTTAGCTCTGAAATTCCCCAAACTCAGAATTATATCAATGTGTAGTTCCCCCAACCTAAAGGCACTTTTAGGTGTGGGACACGCAAACACTGCCACAATATGAAAAGAGACAATGCCTTCCTTGATGTTTTCAGTCAAAAGACATTTCATTGCTGCAGTTTTGCTAATTGTAACACTACATATGTTGTCTATCGACTGGAGTGTGAATGTGGCTGCTTCTATGTTGGCCGCACATAAAAGAAAGCTCAAAGAAAGACTGGCTGAACACAAATACGCCATACGAACTCAAAACCCAAACTACCCTACGGCCCAACATTACAAAACTGCTGGTCACACCAGTCCTGACACTTTAAAATGCATGGCCATTGAGGTAGTCCCCAGTAGCCTGAGAGGAGGGGACTTTTTGGATTTACACATTGAAGGCCACTGCTCATCCTGGTCTCAATGAAGAGACAGACTTTTCTCCCTTCTTGTAATATTGCTGGTAATAATTGTTTTCTGTTACAGGTATTAATATGTTTAACTATATGGACTACTCAATATATTTAAAGTGACAGGAATTATTTGTTTATTTGCAGGGTCACATGGATCATTCAGTCACTGTAGTCTTTGTTATGAAATGTTCAGTCTAAATATTTCATATATCATCATTTTGAATTTGCAGTCCGACTGTCATTTTGTCTCCCTTAATTTAGTCTCTCTGCCCTTTTTTGGCACTGAGTATATTTTGTGGGTTTTCTTGACGTACCAATGGCCTTTTACATATGTAGTGTGCTGACTGTCTTGTGATAGTTGTCTATATACACTCTGTTTGACAACCCTTTTGTGATGTTTTAACTTTGTTGTTGTACTTTTCCTGCCTGTCTCTACTTGTGGGCGTATTTTGAACGGCTGGTCACAGGTTCCTTTGATGCTGCTATTAATACGTTTCTGCATCAATGTCTTGTCATCCTTTGTTGTTGAAATCTGACAGTCACATGTGTATAAATTGTGTATTTGTATTTTTCATTATTCTGACGACGCTGTGATTCACACAATTGTTGTCATTTATATGTTTATTTACTTATTTTCTTTCTGTTTTCAGCATAGGCTGTTTGATCTGTCACATGATCCTGTCACATGATCTTTCACACGTTCCTAAAGTGATTTAAACACCTGTTTGTAATTTGACTGGTTCATATCCTGATGAAGACTCGTTGAGTCGAAACACGTTGATATCCCTGTGCTTATTAAAGGATTTTTAGTATTACCCCGGAGTGCCTCAGACTTTTCAGTTTGGACTGCATTTTTGAACATCTTTTGAAACTTTCAGTTAACAATCAGGACAGTCCTACTGTTTTTATTTTTATTTCAATGTGTGCTGTAGAAAAATGACTCCGCTGAGGTTCATGTAAGTTTCATTTTTTTTTTCTTGCATTGAATAACTCCACTTATGAAACCTTACACTGTAAAAAAAAAGAAAAAAACAGCAACAACAACCAAAACAAAACGAACAAAAACAAACAAACAAAAAAAGAAAGATGTAACACTAATGTAACTTTGATAACATCGTATCACTGTTGTCATGTTTCTACAGCAAAATAATCAGAGCTGAAGAGATTCTTGTTATTATGTGTTTTGTATCTAATGTTTACTGCTAATTTACATATCTTTACTCTGCTTATGTGTGTGAGTGTGTGTCGCAGAGAGATCAATAGCTTTATGTTGGTGCTCATAAACATATCAAGATTCAAAGTTATTTCTTATTTGTCCTGTAAGATTATGCTTTAAAAATAACATAGCTGTTGTGTGATATGATGTGAATTGTATATCTCTTTTTTTATTTGCTGTGCTTCAAAATATGGTTGAATTAAACTGTTTCAACATTCTTTCTTTAGTTTACAGCTCTGTGATACAACATGCTCATTGTTAATAAAGATAAAAACAAGTATCAGGCTGCTTGGAATACTGATTAAGAAAATATTCCTCAAGACACAAGTTAACTCTTAAAGAGGCAACAGATAGGATTCGTTTTTTTTTTAGCTTGGCGCCACCTGGCGTCAGCAGTGTTGTGTTGCACTGTCGCAACGACCAAATTGAGCGTGGGGATCAGAGATAATCAATAAAATGTAGGCTGTAAAGCCACCAGTATACCTCTATGGATATGTAGAATGAGAAGGTGTGTGGACGCTATACTAAATAAATGAGTAAAGAGACCGAGCAGCAATTATCAGATTTATCTGAAGACAAAACAAATAGTAATGCAAATAATTATAGCAGAATGTACAGTACCAGTACAAACAACAGTAGACACAGTGGAATTATACCAATATGCACATGTAAACAGTCTCCATTCTAGAATAAATGCCACCTTGTTGTTTTCTAATGTTTGGTATGACTAAGTCATGGTATGGTATGCTGTACATAATCACGGAAACTGTCAGTGTGTCATTCTGTCTGTCAGTCATTCTGTCTGTCCCACGTTTTTCTACTCACTGACGTGGTCAATCTATGTGAAACTGCACATAGGCATTGGGTATGGACTAGTTTATATATTTAGGAAAAGATGCTATCTGTTGCCTCTTTAAATTATCAACCTGTACAAACAAATTGTTGTGTCAGCAGACCCTCCTGAACGCCTCTCTACACACATCACATGTATTGTCTCATGTGGTTTGTGTCTGAGAGGCTCAAATTATCACCAGCAGCTGTCGAGTCTAAAACTACACACAGAACAACATATACTTTAAAAACAGAGAACTCGTCTTTTAAAAATAGTTGATGCATCAGTGCCTCTGTGGTTTAACCTTTTCTGTTTCTGAGAAAGTCCAACAGTCACTGCAGGTATGAACATGTGACACAGAGAGCTTTGATACCTCACAGTCACACACAACTTATACAAAAACTAAACAAGTGAAGATTAAAGGTGAGCAACATCCTGATGACCTGCCAGATTCCTCAGACCGTGAGCATGATGGGACGCTCTGTGCTTCATTATCTTGACATGTTACCTTTTACATGAGTATCAGTTATGTTTGTGCAACTGTAACTCTGAGTTTCCCACAGTGCAGCAGTCCCACCAGCAGCAGCAGCAGAGGCACCATCACTATGGTGAACACCGTCCTTAAGACGAGGACGACATGTATGAAGAGGTCTGAACAGGGACACATGTCTCTGTGATGAGCTGCAGAGACAAAAGCATGTAACAGTATGTGACAGGTTGTCTCTGAGAGCTGCTGGAGCACAAGTTGAACACTGACATTTTAAACAGTGTCATGTCTCACCTCTGACAGCCATCCAGCTCTCTGGTGATTCTCCAGCTCCAGAGATGTGACACTTGTAGAGTCCTTCATCAGACTTGGAAACACTGTGGATGGTCATCTCTCCTGTAGAGCTGCTCCTGATGAGGAGGCCATCTTTGTAGAAACCAGCTGTCATGTTTGAGGAGGTTGTTTTGTTCCTGCAGCGCAGAGTGACATTCTTGCCTTCTGTCACAGGGAGAACAGGACTCTCCAGGATCACTGAACCAGCTGAACAACAACGGTTTTATAGGTTGTGATTCTTGTGATTCTAAGAAATACACTCATTTGCTGACTCTGTGGAAGTTAAATGGGGGAATTTATCTTGACAGAACCAACGTTTTTAAGATCTGTACATCAACATCTTCCTCACTTTCAAAAATAATCACATGGATTTCATTCAACAACTTTTTATTGAAACTTTTCCTTACCAGTGACAGAGATGTTGACACTGTTGCTCCTCTCTCCTCCTTCAGTCTCACACCAGTATTCTCCACCATCTGCGAGATAGGCTCTTTTGATGGTGCAGAATAGCACCGGCATCCGCTCATCACATGCAGAAATGAACTGCACAGTATTTCTGATCCCTCTCAGCTGAGTGGAGCCATCCAGACCCTCACAGTGAAAAGAGACAGTCTCAAACTCAAAGAGCTGCAGTCTGGTTGGAACGATACGGAAAGCTGCATCTGAGACGGAATCACATGGAAGAAAAGATTTCTCCAAAATGAAACTTACAATACTGCAAAATTCAATGTTAAATATCAAGACAAAGCCATGTACAGTATCTGCAGCTTGTGATGGACACAGTTTAAATTTGGTGGTGCACGCTTTAATATTCACTCTCAGTGTGGACGTTAATTTGAAACAGAGGTCAATTTCAGATTATTGTACGCAAGACAATTTTGTAACTTATACAGTGTTAGAATCAAAGCAATATACAATATTTAACTTAACTGATATCCAGGCTTTAGATCAGTGGTTCTCAACCTTTTTTTGGCCAAGCACCGCCAAACTGATACAAATTAGGTCACAGACCGCCATGTGATAAAATGTCATAGGCTTGATGCTGCCATCAAGAAAAATAACATATGATACAAAACAAAACATGTAAAATTACTGTGTTTCGTTAGTCATTCTTACTGTTGTTCTGAACATGAGCACTGAGCAGAATGACTACAGGCGTCACTGCAGAGACAAAGAATACAAACTGTTAATCACCCACACACTTGTCTACGATATATACAGGAATATGTAAGACTTAAAGCTGACACTCAGTACTCACACAGTCTGAAGCAGAGAGCTGTAACCTCCATGTTGTCTTGCTGCTGACTGACCCTCAGACTGAAATACAGCACAAGTTTAATGTAGACGAGAGCTTCCTCTTCCTGTTCAGTTTAGATCTGATGTTGAGGCAAAAGTTGGGGCCAACTCAACATACAACAAACAGCAGTGTGGTGAACCCTGTGGCTCAGAGGACAAGACGTTAACCTTGAAGAAAAGAGAAAAGAAAGACGAGTTGCACTTGACAAAGAGTTCTAGATATAAAAAGACCACGACCATGAAAGTCGTGTGTTGCTGACTGTGGGAGGCACACAACATACCTAGCAGAATGAGCATTCACTCTACACTGGTGGTTACTGTCTCTACGGACTCAGGTTAAACAAGCAGTGTGTGTCACGTCTGCTTCACCTCTGTTATTCTTACCCATTCTAACTCTGTTCCTTTTCGTTGCCCCAGGCCCACCTGTCTCAATCACCCGTTCTCCGTTTCCTTTCAGGAGGTTAAAAAGCGGGGAAGTCACAACATCATATTGTGTTAGATCATTGGGGTACAACACAAGGGTAGTTAAATCTGGGGCCATATTCACAAACATTCTGAGAGTCCTCTCAGAGAGCTCTTAACTTGGGCTAAAAATGTTCATTAAGGAGTCCTGGCTGGAGGAAAGTTCTCAAAGCAACTCTGTGAGAGGAAGGGACAGCAACTTTTACCTCAGTGAGGAGGTGTGGTCGACCCTGTTGCTAGGTATGATGCAGTCATACAGATGTGATTGGTTGTCAGAGACACAGCCTTCTGTGAGCCCGTAAGCTGTGAGCACACCCAGTGGAAATGAAATGAACTGCTGCTACGCAATGGATAAATACAGGCTTCTCTCAATAAAGCCATTACCCAACTAAAGTGCTGGGGCAAAACAAAAAAGGAGGCCAGCTTTCTTCTTTCAATCCGAAAGAAACTATCAGGAAATATAACATTACCAACATTTTAAATAAAAAAAGAAAAGAAGAAGGAGAAGAAGAAGGAGACTGGTTATCTGAGTTAACAAACCCCCTTCTAATGGTCTGTTTTCACTTTCATTACAGTTGACACCAGTTTTTCTGTTGCTACAGCGCTGCCTCTTGTCATCGTGGTTTGCTTTCTTTGATGGTTTGCTCCAGTGACGACCACCTGTGCAAAGCTTCACCTGTGTGACAACTGATGATAAACAGAGGACTAGTTCCTCTATATAGCTCAATATATCCAGTCCCGATCCATCAAAAAATGCCTTGATCAGCTTCGATCCTGATCTTTGAGCCAGGATCGGAACATCCTAAGCTATTACTCTTCCTTTCCTTGTTGTTCTAAAGACGTCACTCCTTTAGCGCCTCGTTATTACCAAGCTGTAATGTAAAGTGCAAGAACAAACCTCAAAATCGACGACCCCTCTTCTCCCTGTCAAACCAGCACGTGTGTTGTGAGACCTTCCTCACCTCTGTCTGCAGGAAACCAGAGAGAAAGGTGTGTAGCTTCTAACTCCTAATACTCCTAACTTCTAATCTCTGTGGTTTGGAGTTTAGTTTCTCTCCTGCGTCCTGTTTGTGCTTTAGATATGCTTTATTTTACTGTTTCATGTTCGCTATCCACCGTATTAGTTGTGTAAAGTAGCTGCTCGAAAACAATATTTCCTTATTTTGCTGCTTCACAATAAAAGTTTTAAAAGAATACTCTGACGATTTTGGAGTTATGCCCTTTCTCTATCATTTTCATATTGAGACAACATGATCGATATTTTTTTTGTGTCTGTACGTCCAGGGGCTGGGTCTCAACGCTAGCATTGCAGCTTAGCTTAGCGAATACAATTGAAGTCTATAGGGAGTCAGTAGCCTGCTCAGTAAAAGTTAACAAATAAATGTTACAGAAACCCTGAAGCTGGTATTTCTACACGTGCATTTAAAATAAACATGTTTAAACATTAATTTGAAAAATGAGAGTCCTTTTTAGTCGTTTTAGAAGAATTTTGATACACGGAACTATAGTGTGTTTATGCCCTGCGCTGTGATGCATGGAGGGATACACCGGGGAGCAGGCACAGGCACAGACGTAGCCTGTAAAAAAAACTCAGTTGTTTATTTAGCCTAACAATATCTCCAGACTATAGTAGCTGCAATGGATGACTTTGAACGCGATTTTGAAGAGTTCCTTGTAGCGGACACAGATCCAGAGCCCTACCTGTTTGAGCCGGAGCATACAGATGAGGAACTCCAGGTGTTGGATGCTGAGTGGGCAAGAAGAGAGGCTGAATCCTCCGAGGCAGCGGAACAGCAAGGGTCCAAGGGGAGATGGAGGTCAGGGGAGGATTGGTGGTGTAGCTGTGGGGCTTGCCAACCTTTGCCTACGGAGGTGGAATCATTTTGCTGCACAGAATGGGATTTGGTGCTACCATCGTTGGGGAGATATATCATCAGGAGGAAAACTGCCGCAGAGAGTGCATCACAAGGAGTGAAAACTTTGCAGCAATCACTAATCCTGGCGTGATTGAAACTTTTTTTCATGTTCCTAATGTGACCTGACCAGAAGGAGGGCAAGGTGGCTTTAAACTACACCTTAACCTGGGTCCACCAAAGACTAGTTTTTCAAGGTACAAGTCATCACAGATAAGTGTAAAGGATTGGCAGAGACGTAGCTTCAAGTTCAATTGTACAATATTTATTACAAGTTAAAAAGAGTCAACATTTAATGTCCACTTAAAAAGATAAAAGTAGCATTTGCCAGCAATAAAATAGTTGACAGTGCAATAGGTCTAATGTTGGTTCTGCTTTGGAGCAGCTAAGGGGGGGGGCAAGTGGTCACCTTAATTAAAAGGACAAAAACACACACTTAACCATCAGGCTGTCTAAGGGTATAGGCCACTAATCCACTCTTACTTCACCATGTGCTTCCTGTAACCGGGGTGGTTTCACACGCACACCATCACAGCAATCACACACTGCAAAATTACTGTTTCACTGCAATCATCACCCAGAGTGTCAATAGCCTACTTCAACTGGGGCCCGTTGTTCGAAAGTAGAATTAACCAATCCAGGATAAGTGGAGAAGCGAGGCTGGACAAATTCCATTAAGTCCATCCTGGCTTAATTGGCTGTTGGAACACCAAGCCAGGCTGAGGAGGCGTGGCTTTGTCAAGCCAGGTATAACTTATTCAGGTGAGTGCGCGTCCACGGGTTTCTTAAATAGATCCCGAGATCGATCACAGATTCACCGATGCAGCAATGGAGAGGGCACGTGCTGCATACTTCTCACCCAGTGAGCAGGTCTCATCATGGACACTTATGAAGAGGTAAAGCATATAATCACAAAGAAAGGAAACACTGCAGCGATAATAAAGCAGAGAGAGAGCGCGTGGTTAACAACTGCGGACTGACTGAATGCTTAAGTAATCTAAAAATATACACTTGCGGCGCAAATTAATCTGTCATAATTACAATTAAAGTTCCTTCCACAAATTAACAGTTGTACACTTCGCCTTAAAGGTGAGCAGTGGATATAATATTACTCGGGAACCAGTTGCTGATTTCACACCAGCGGAAGAGCTCGTCCTGGATCAGAACCAGCTACAGACTCTGTCCCACCCACAAAAACCGCCCTCTTCATACAAGGTACTTTATTCCAGTATACTGTACATGGAATCAATCATTTTATTCATTCATTAATCAACCAGTGGTGTTATGTGGACTGTCTGACTTTGGATTGTCTTGCAGTGTCAGACAAATTGACAAATTAAAAGAAAAACCTTAAGGAAACTGGACTTGGAAATTAAGAAACTAGAGAAAGAAGTAAGTGATTTTAATGCACATTGTAAGCATGATGCAATGTATTAATCAACGTTATTTCTCTCTTTCTCTCCACAGCTCCAATCAGACAGTCTTTTAATGAGGGTTTTTTTTTTTGTTAAAAAAGTTGCCTTAAAATAGTTGCCTTTTTGCAGTTCTTATCAAATAGCTGCTCATAGCAGGGTTGTTGAAAATAGCTGCTTTTTGCAGTTTCATTAAATAGCTGCTTATATCAGGATTGTATTCATGTTTTGTTTTTATAAAAAGTATAAATCGCTTAAGATAAAAGCAAGTCATCTGAGGAAGCAGATAGCCCTGGCAGATGTCAAGCTCCAGTGTGAGAAGAGGAAGCTGCAGGACATGGAGCTTGACAGACAAATTAAAAGAGAGACCTTAAGGAAACTGGACTTAGAAATTCAGAAACTACAGACAGAAGTAAGTGACTTTAATGCACACTGCAAGCATGACTGTGATGCAATGTATTAATCAATATTATTTCTCTCTTTCTCTCCACAGCTCAAAGCAGACACTGACTGATTACAGTATTTTTCATTTAAATAAAATGAGGTCGAAGAATATTGTGGTTTCATCTTCATGTTTTCATTCATTGATGTAAAGTACACTGGAGTTATTGGTCCAGTTAACTGGGAATATAATTTGGGAAGGTCATACAGTTATGACACCTAATAACCACTAATTGTGTTAATGCCAAATACACCTACTTGTATGTTTATTCCAACAATTAATTCTTATATTGGTAAAGATATGTGCATGTCAAAGTATGCTTGGGCTATGACAAAAATAATGTTTTAATTTTTTTTTTTTTTATTGTAGGCTTAATGTGTTTTGTACAAAAATGAGGCAAAGACGTACATAAGAACATGAAATGACGGTAAAACACACTTATTTCCGATCGCATTGACAGCTGACTGGACAGATAAGCCACCAGGCTAAACTAAGCCTGGTTGTTAGCCTGGTCGGGACCAGGCTTAATGCACAGAATAAATCTCCATGGCAACATATGTGCCTCTGCTTTCGAACAACCAAATCAACGCTAAATTAAGCCAGGATAACCAACATATCCCAGCTTAATCCCTTATCTAGGTTTGGAACAACAGGCCCCTGCATGCAAGTGCTCAGGAAACCACACCAAACCCAGTGGCCAGCGTCCCTGGACAGCCCAGCAAAATAAAGACAATAACTTTATCCACACAGATAAAGGTGAAACAAAAACAAGA